ACATCAGTCGACAAACATTTTTAAAACTTTTTTCAAAAAATTCTGTTACAAACAATATTAAAAAAGAACATTTTAAAAAATATGTTAAATTTTAAATTCGCATTTGATATAAATAACTATTTCATATTTAGGAAATAAAATGAACAATATTCCGAATTACCATGTGACAGGAAAGAGAAATAATAAAAAATGTTTGTCGACTGATGTTTTTAATATTACTTAATTAAATAATTTAATTAATATTGATTTTAATATCATTTTCATCAATGATATATTATATATACATACATATACATATATATGTATACATATATAATATATCATTTTTGTATAAGAGGTGAATAAATTTGGAAAATAAATAAAAAAAAATAAGTAATGTGCTGAACATTAAGTTATTTATTTTTGGAAAATTAAATATTCAAAATTTAAAAAAAATTATATATTTAAAATACTTTGTGACATTCTAATTGGAATTGCAAGAGACATTAGGTGTTATTATTTACATTAATTAGCTTCGAAAGCAACGATTCTATAAATAATTTAATTTTCGATTCAGCTGAATACTTTGTGTCTGCGTAATCCGGAGTCTGTCTCTTGTCGCAAACCATTTCTTCGTTGGATGGAATCAAGTCTCGAATTAAATCCGAGAACTTATCGAAAGGACACAGAGTTTCACAACCTGGGAATGTAAGCTCGTCGAAGATCGGCGGAATGCCCCGATAATGTAAAAGCTGTAAAATAATCAGTTAATAATGATATAAATAATGAAATTCGTATTTTGAATACATCTTTATTAATAAATGTTATTCAAACTTTTTCACGCTTACATTTTCAAGAAATGGTTCCAAAAGTAGGGAAAATTATTAATGTATTTATGTTTGAATAGAATTTATTCTACATTTCTTTACATTTATAGTGAGAAATTATCTGTTTTCTATTAATACACTGCTCAAAAAAATTATGGCATAGAAAAATTTTGAGCAAAAATTGGTCAACTTTGGTTAACGGTAACTCCGCGAAAAATCATCGTAAAATGATGAACTTTTTTTCAAATAAAAGCTTGAAATCTCTACTTTAAGATACTGTGAGTCGATTTTTAATTTAATGCACCTCTGTTGCTGTAAACTCTTAAATCTGAGAGCATGTTTGCCACACTGAAAATTGCAAAGTTTGAACGAGTGCATGGACTTGCTAAAATTTTTCCCGGGGATGCGGTTTCCAGCGTCATAAAGTTGGAATCTTTCTCTTTAATTTGAAAAAAAAACAAGTCGCTACGATGTTTTTTCGCAAAGTTACAGCATTTTGAAGTAACCCTTGTATTTTTCTCATGTATATGTTCGGCATTATTCGATGTGCACTATAGGGAGGTTGGCAATCGGATTTTGCACATTGTGTGAATGCGGGCGTATGTAAAACATACACACATACATACACGGTGTGCAAAATCCGGTCGTCAACCTACCTATAGTGCACATCGGATAATGTCGATCATATTCATGAGAAAAATACAAGGGTTACTTTAAAATGCTGTAACTTTGTGAAAAAAAATCGTAGCGACTTGTTTTTTTTTCAAATTAAAGAGAAAGATTCCAACTTTATGACGCTCGAAACCGCATCTCCGAGAAAAATTTTAGCAAGTCCGTGCATTCTGTTAAACTTTGCAATTTTTTCATGTATAATTGGCCTTATCCGGTGTGCACTATAGGTAGGTTGGCGATCGGAT